AAATAAACACTTAAGTGTCATGTAAACGCAATTTGTTATTGCGATCATATGACTTTACTAGCTTTAATTCACGTTATAGAGGGTGTGCGGATACTTTTGTCTACCCTCTGTAGTATGAGTAAGTGGTTAATGGGAAGCCAGAATATACGGGAGTTGACGTTATCATGATCAACGATTGATTCACATTATGCGATACATTATTAGCTCCGTGAAAACACTTTGATACAGGAAGGATCAGTTGCTGTTGTTGTTGTTATTGCTGTTCTGATGGTGTGGACGGACTTCCATTGCTTCTTCGTTATTAAACTCGTACATTTCAGAAGCGACCTCTGATTTATCAGAAGATTAAGGGGAATTTCAACCTGAACTTCTGTATCATGTGATTGGAAAAGGAATTGGTATTATCAGCGAGATCACCAGTAGATAGCTAGCAAATGTTTGAATTCTGACTGAACATTTCTTCAATTCTGTTTATAAGCTCGTTGGAAGACGATGTCGTTGAAATAGATGCGTCCTTCTCATACGAATTTGCACAATCGATAAATCGTTGTAAACTTTGCATTATATTCAAAATGTAATCAATATTCTTTGGATCAGAGAGCCTTGTTAATAGGCTTATAGGTGATGACTTTATGCATCGACCTAATCTAATTGCGTCCTTAAACTCATTGAAAAGCTGTAAAAGCTCTGGAGAGTTGAAATGTTTTTAGATTCATATAACATGCAGAGGATTTCTTTTCCCAATTCCTTTATTGTCAGTTTTTCATCAATTCACGCGTGATTGATTCCTACTAAACCTCGAATTCAGTGAGGCAGTGTTTTAACAACTCATCCTGTTTGTTCTTGCGAGATGAGTTATCATATTTGCAATGTGTTAAGTAGTGCTCTGAGCCAGTCGAGTCGACCCAGGTTGATCGACCTGACTCGAATTTTTCTCGAGTCAGGTTTATCAATTTTATGACACGAGTCCTAATTCAATAAAACCTGTCGGGTTCAGGTCACGTTTTTTCTTGACCTGGGTGACCCGGGTGACTCGGATGATCAGTGATCTAATTTTTGTAATATAAATTACGCGCTAGACTAATTTACATTACGCGACTTAAATTTGTAAACAAATAATATATAATGAGTGAAACTATAGACATTACCAATATAGACGTTACTGAAAGTTCTAAAAAA